TCAAAGAAAACACTAGCTCACTGGCAAGTAAGCCAGTCAAGGAACACCCCTGCATATTGCTCAAGAGCCCCACACTGTCAACTCAACCAGTGAGCACAGAAAAATGAGCAAGACCTGATTTCTGCACTAACAGAGCTCCCAGTCCTACAAGCTGGATGGTAAGGAGGTGAGCCAAAGAGGACTGGGGACCCAAAGCAAGAGGACCTCAACTCTAATGAGGTGAAGCCAACTATGGGTGACACAGACAGGGCCTAGCAGGATGTGCGGCAGGAAAGAAGTATCTCAGAACATGTCCCTGTGCCACATCTAAGAGCATGAAGCTGAACTCCCAAGGGACACCTAGGTTACTCAGGACATCAGAGAGCACAGTTGTGAGTAAGCTGCAAGGTTCCCCCAGAAGCAACTAACAGCCAACGGAGCATTATTTTTATGAAAGAGGTGCAACCTGCAACCTCTGATTCAACTTGAAATACTAGCAACTTGGCAGATAGTGACAAAGAAAAACAACATTCTCCATGGCAGGAAGAAGAAATGTGTTTCCCTAAACATAACACCTGTGACAACCAACCAAATAAGTTTCTATATAAAAACAAACTCTTACAAAAAACTTTGCTGCAACAAGCGACTTTCAGGGAACATGATCCTTGTGGTTATTTGAGGCGTTCTCAAACCCTTCATCAAGGGTCAAGGCCGCACAAGCTTGGGATGGTATGCACAGACAGCTGTGGGAACTATGAACAGCAGGCGCTCCATTCCCAGCTCAGCAGACACCAGACACCAGCACTGAAGTTACAGGGTGGCCAAGGAAGGGCTCAAGATGCAAGTCAAACACGCAGCGCTCTACAGGGAACAGATGCTCAGTGACACACTGTACCACAGGCTTCGGTGGACCCTCTGCCCATATCGTCCCAGGTCCCCTGAATGCTGGGGCTCAGGCACTACTACGAAGCCCTGACCCCTGTGAGATGCTCTTCAAGGTAGTTCTCCTGCCACAGGCTGGGCCAGGCCAGGCGGGTGCATGGGTGTTGCTGACAGGCCACGCAGGAAGGGTAGAAGCAATGCTGTCAGCCAGGCCCTCAACTTCAGAGCACAGCCGAGTTTCCCAGCAGCATCCAGGAACCTGGGAAGTATAGGGCCCTGGCTGGATGAGCCACTGGAGTATCACCTGCTCCAACATGCAACCGCCAACAGAGACTTAAAACAGCAACAAACTTTACTTAACAAGAAAGGCACTTGACTCATCTCCCCAACCCCATCCACCCACCTCAGACAGGGAGACCTAGACAAGTGGCTCAAACTTGAGGCCAGGCGGGTTCCAGGCACACTTCTAGGCATGGTGGCAGGAAAGGCTCAGGAGATGACAGCTGCATGCCACGTGTCCCCGTGGGACACCCCAAAATCTGATCAGCCAAATGTGAAAATGATCAGCAACGTGGTCTTCAACTCTAGGAGCCTGTGGGATACAGATTCTCAAGGTAGGAAATAAGGATTAAAGAAAACACTTCTCTTCTGACAGATTAATGTTTTAAAACAAGAAAGAGGTCAAAAGCCTATGTATTCCACACCTACAAACAGGATTACTGACCGATTTTTACTTGGGAATCTTGGTGAGCTCTTTCTGCTAAAATGTATTAAATTCAGTCCACTGTTAGGTTTTCTAATCAGACCCATTTCAACTGTCTTTGATACATGCATTAGCCAAAGTATTCCCTTTCACAGGGAAGCATGCCTCAGGCCCACCACAGAAATTCCTGAAGACACCAGAAAGCTGGAAAATTTTAAATAAATTAGAGCAAAGCCAAATGCTGGCCAACAAGAGGAATTATATCTTCAAGTGTTTTTCAGAACTTCAAAAAGGGCTCATGTCATGGTAATCAAAAAGCTTTGTACAATTGGGGTCAAGTGGCACACGTCTGCAATCCCAGCTACTCCGGAGGCTAAGGCAGGAGAGCCGAAAGTCCAAGGCCATAGCCAGACCCTGTCTCAAAATAAAAACTACAGAAAGGGGCTGGGATGTAGCTCAGTGGTACAGCACCCCTGGGTTCAATCCCCATTACAAAAAAAAAAAAAAAAAAATCTTTATAGATAGAACCCAATTGTGTACATTTAGACAGGAAAAAAGACTAACTGGATCTCCTTTAAAATTAAGAGTCTTCCCTTTTGCAGGACAAGTGATTTTTAAATCGTTTGCTATGGTATGCATATACTTTCCTGGTTGGAAATGGTTATACTTTAAAACTCAGAAAGATTTACACTTTGCTGCTGTACCATAAAACCTCAAGGTTCACCTGCAGGCAGGGGCTAACGCGGTATGTCTCCAGGGCTGGGGTCCACTGCAGTCACTGTGGTGCTCTGGGTACCCACTCAGTTTCATTTCCTCCAAGCGTGTCCCTCTGAATCCCCTGCAGCAGTGCCCTGACTCTGTCAGTGCACACAGCTACACATAACTGTATCTACATAGCTCTCTTCTCGCCCAAAAATGCTATCCTGCCACAATTAAGCAACCCTCTCAACTTCCAAAACAGCAACGAAGTATAGGAAGTATACGCTTAAGTCCCTCCCACATCCTAAAATTGAAAGAGAGAGGAGAACATCTCACTATAACCAACAAGCCTAGAGTAAATCAGAAAGGGCAGGGAGAGGTCCTCAAAGAGCTCTGTTTGGGGTGGCCAGAGCCCTAGGCCCCAAATGATCCCTTGGTTCACACCAGACTTAGAAGTGCCTCTGTCAATCAAGGGTCATCACTCCTCCCAGAACCTCCATGCTCCTTTACAAAACCTGGATAAGGAAGCTGGCCATCCTCTCCCTCAGGGTTGGCACTAACAGTGAGATCACGAATGCCAGCGCATTTGTGCTAAGTTCTATACAAATGAACAGTGGCACCATTGTTGATAAGATCAGAGGCATACCTGACTGCTTCTTAACCTCACTAAATTAACTACAGCCATGGCACAATATGGACAGTCCTACCTCTAACAGAAAAATAACAGCATTATCAAAGCCCCAAACAGAATCTATCCATTAATTGTGAGCCTTATTAATTGACAACATTTCCAGCCAAGAAGGAATCTAAATCTCCTATTGTACAGGTAGGCAACAAGCTATCAAAAAAACATCATTTCAGAATCACATAGGAGGAAAAAGGGAAGGAGACAGGAAGAGAAAAGAAAACTGCAACCGCATCCTCTTGCTGCACTGGAAGTGCTGAGAACCCAGAGTGCGGCTTCAGAAATGGGAAAAGGAGAAGGACTGAAAGGGGGTGAGTCATGCTCAGCTGGAGGCCTTCCTGCTCACTGCAGCCAGGTGCACTCAGCGCCTCACCCCAGCTTTCCCTGGGCTTCAGCAAACTTCTGCAAACGCATCCAGAAGGTAAAGAAGATGCACCTGAAATAAGCACCATGCACCTTCCACCGCTACCCAAACACACCCAGACCTCAAGTTCTGGAGGAACCCATCTGTAATATCTCTCAATCCACCAGATGGGTGCGGGTACCAGGATCTCCTGCCACAAGCCTAGAGACACACAGGGGTCCTGCCTCTTTAAGAGTCTAGAAGCACCTTAAGTTGCCAACAGGGCAGCCAGGGGCACTCAGGGACAAAAGGTGCACTGAGAAGCAGGCCTCCTAAGGCTGGAGCCTGCTAGGACCCTTCTGTGAAATCATCCAGTCTCCTACGGATACAGTCAGCCAGCCATGGGATGGGGTTCAAGTTTTTGAGGCTGCCAAATGCCAAGAGGATCGGCCACACAAAATCCACCTTCTCCACCTAACAAAGTTCCAAACCAAAACACTCTGGGGTTAGCAGTTCAGAATGCACAGTGCCAAAACAGAGCCCTCCTGAGGGCCACGGCTTCTCACTCCCAAAAGGCAGGGAATTGGATAATGGTCTCACCTGCTTCCCAACACACTCCTACCGGCAGGAAGCTCCCATGTTCTACAACAGAGGTCTTACAGCCTTTGGGCAGGACACTCTGCAGCACTGACAGGGCACCCTGTAAGCCTTTTACTATCAGTGATCAACAGCAATGAGAGAGGACAGACCACTGATGGACTGTGGCTGAGACATAGCTCCACGGCTACCTATATGCCACCTGCTCCCCCAAAGCAGGACCAAAGGAAGAAAGCAAGGAAACAATCCAGAAGCCCAGTAGCAGAGAAATGAGAGCCACTGGCAGTTCAGAGGGAACACAAACCCAGAAAAGGCAGACTGCTTCCTGCTGCCACCTCACTTGCAGGACTACTGCCCTGCCTGACAGGCAGGGGAAGGTGAGAGTGTTCTATCCAGCCCCTTCCCTCTCCACTGGCTTACAATCTACAGCATCCTCCACTTATTTCCCCCCCTCCCAGTGCCAGAAGTGTCAAAGTGAGAGCCTCAGTAACCTGGCCTCCGATAGTGCTCTTCTGATTTGATCCAGGACTTGTGATATAAAACACACTAGGGAAGCCAACATTTACACAGGGCAGGTGAGGTGGCTGGCCCTGCACGTGGACAGGCTGCTGCCTGGTCTGGATTTCTGCACGGGCTAAGTTTGACGGCCTTCCTTCCCAGAAATCCCAAAATGTGCAGACACGGGCCGTGGGAGCACCACAGCACCTCAACAAGATAGCCGGGCCAGCATCATATCTTCAACGTCCTCCTGGACTCTCAGGCCTGGCCTCCTGGTTGGGTGGCGCCAACCCCTCCAGTTGCCCCCAGGCGTCTGGCTGAGTCGGGACATTCTGGCGGCCCAGGACGCGGGGCACCGAGCCACTTTCTCACAGGAGAGACTCTATTGTCCATTATCAAATTAACGCTCATGATCCATCTTCCCTGGCAGGCTCACGGCGCACCCGGCCTTGCAGGGCAAGAAGCACCGCAGTGCTCCCTTGGCGGGGCAGCCGCGTGCCTTGGCCCCGCGCGAGTGTACACACGCACGCACACACGCGCGCGCACACCCCCGGCGAGCCGGAGGCGCCCGCTCCCCCGTGCTTTCCAGAAGCCCCGGTGGGCCCGGCCCTCACCTTCGATAGCGATGACGTGCTCCCGGATCTGGTTCTGCAGCACCGGCTCCTCCACGCGCTCCAGAAGCTCGTAGATGGAATAGATGTTCGGGTGGACCGATTCGAAGCGCTGGATCTCGGCCCGGATGGCAGCCGAGTTGGCCAGCTGCTGCTGGTAGTTCATGGTGCAGGCGCCGCGCCCGGAGCCGCGCGCCCCCCGCCGCCGCCGCCCCGCTCCCCGGGGCCCGCGGGCCGCCGAGCCCGGGGCGCCGCAGCCCCGGGGGAGCCCGGCCCGCCGGCGGCGGG